AAAAAAAAAAAAGAAAAAGAAAACAAAAGATTTGAATAGTTGGTTGGTCATTCAAAAAAAAAAGAGAAAAGAACAATCGTTCAGTTATGTTTTTGTACTTCATCACAAAATGCACGTTGAAGAATAAAAAGAGCTCTGTTTTTTTAATTTGTTTTGGGATAGTCACTGACAATATTACGTTGTCCACCACTAAAACCACTATTTTCTGTTGGATAGTATGGCTCTCGTCTACCACAATCAGGACACAGAATTTCAGGACCATCAGTAAGAAAACCTCGACCAACAAGTGAACTTCGACAACGTTGACATACAAAACAATCATTATGCCAATGACGTTCTTCAAATGATATATACCGTGTACCACCAACACCTATCAAATATAATTATGAAATTGTTATTTAAAGAATATTTCTGTTAAATTACCAGTAATTGGTTTACTGCATGCATAACATTTTTTAGCAAAGAGTCGAGCAAAACAATCAGCACAATAAGGATGATCGTCTCGTGATGTAAATCGTTGACCAGCTAATGAATTTTTACAATGTGTACAAGTAAAACATTCACGATGCCTAAAGAAAACTTTTTATAAAAAACAAAGGATTGACTAGCCGATGTAGGAGTATACCATGGCTGATTTTTGTACGTTACACCACCTTGGGCGATAACCTAGATTGTTTCAAAAAACATGTCATAAAAAGATTTAAAAAGAATAGCAAAAATAGAACCAACATAAGAAACCTTGTCGCTTATCTATATTTAATACCTTAAGGCAACGAATACATTTCGTTGCAAAATTTTCTTCGTAACATGGAACGCAATAGCTTTTTTGATCTTTTGGAATAAAACTTTTTGTTCCAATAGGTTGCGAACATGCAAAACAAGTAAAGCAATGTTCATGAAATTGTTGTCCACGATATTCAAGTTTTTTAGTACCTAAAAAATAAAACATACATGTATATGTAAGTTATTTAATATTAGTATTAAACATTTTTTTTCACCTGGTTTAAATATTTGATTACATTTATCGCAGCGTGAAGCAAATTGTTGATTATAACATTCTCCACAATAAAGTTGTTCATTTTTACAACCAAATGGTTTATCAATAAGTGGTGTTTTGCACATTGAACAAAAAAAACATTTTTCATGCCAATGACGATCTTTATATGAAAGATCCTTTAGAAAAAAAATAATAAATCAAATCATATATGTATATATTTCTTGTAAATACTAACTTTTGAATCAGTACCAATTTTTCGTCGACATTCTTCACATGTATTAGCAAATCGGTCTTCATAACATTTAATACAATATGGATGTTCATCTTTAAGTATATATCGTGAACCAGATAAATTTCTTTCACAATGATAACATGAAAAATGTTCTGGACCGGTACTACCATATGAAGTATATGGAAATGATGGATGGCCATTACTAATTCGAGCATTAGTATTCATTGATCGATTATAATCTCCATCAGCATTGCTATAAATAACCTAAAAGAAAATAAATAAATGCATAATTTTCGCTTGATGTTATTTATCAAAATAAATCCTTCTATGCATCTTTCTCTATCTTGTCTTCTTGTATATCACCGACTGATATCTTTAGCTAGCTGTCATCTGCAAAAAATATGTATTATACTCGCATTACAACACATATGCGTTGTTATAAAATAGTACAGAGTGAATTCTTGTGTTTGTTATTCTTTCTAAGACAAGCAAAAAAGGAACGAAAGATACTTAATGAGCATATGGTGTTTTTGTTCCTAATTAAGAAAATGAAAAATGAAAATTGAACTATAAGAAATACTAACTTGATCTTGTTCGTCTTCCATGTTTTAATATTTTTATTTTTATTTTAAATAAATGAAATAATGCACAATAATGATAATAATAATGATAGTAAGTGATGATCAGAATAACAATCACATTGTGTGAGTCGACAACTCACAGGGACATGAAAGCATACACGTTGACTCTATCTTTACTTCTTTATAATAGATGAGAGAAAGAAAATATAGAACTATTTGTCGTTCTTTTTTTCTGTCTATTTGAGTTTATCTGTTCTCTTTTTCTTTGTCCCTTTTTTTTCGAAGTGTTATCGGACGAGCCAGCGAAAGAAAGATCTAGTCGTAGTAGTAGTATACTAGTAGTAGAATAGAAAGAGAGAAAAAAGAGCGAACGATGTGTCGACAAACTATGATAAGGTAAGGACCAAGAGAAAAAAAGAGTCAAAAGGACCAGCTATGTTTAGCTCGCATGCAAATAGAACATTCAAGCATGTTGAGACTGTGTGTGAGAGAGAGAGAGAGCGAGAGAAAGAAAGAAAGAAAGAAAGAAAGAAAGAAACGAGTAGGAGCGTAATGAATGCAAAAAAAATGAGACACGCTAAATCTTTGTGACGATATTGCATCTCTTTCTTTCTCACACACCCATGCGATGTTTGATAAGACGAAATTCTTGCTCACGGCAGAGAGAATGAAAATGGTCACCTATTCTCTCTTTCTGTTTTAGATTTGCCGCATACTATCGTTTGTGTATAGAGGAGTGCGGTCACTCGACAATTTTTTTTTCGTTTGTATGCCTATAGACGTTATTATTGCAAAAGTACCACCAGCAGTCATTCGAAGACATAAAAATGAAAAACGATGAAGCAAAATAATAACATTGCTGTGTACTTCGAGCAATTGTCTAGATGGATTCACGGAAGAAAAAAAAAACCTAAGCTATTCTTTTCTTTTGATAATAGTTCAAAATATAAAACAAAAGAAATGCAATTCATAAGAGGATATTTATACATAATACACTCGATAAAAAAAAAACGAATGAACAATACGTTGTTATCAATAGATGGAATTAAAATAATATCAAATATCCATGTGATGACGATTGACTGATCTGTGTGTTTGAATTACGAATCACTTATTTGCTTTTCAATGTTGTCTAAGCGTCAAATATTAAGAAAAAAAATCGAAAGAATGTTATGCGTACATCAAACTTTGCGGTTTATGTCCAATACTAATGTTTGCCAAGAGAAGAACGTTAAATCATTATTTTATTTTTGCTTTTTCTCTTTCAGAGACAAGCAAAATCACTGACAAATTTATGCGGTTTTTTTATTATTGATATATATCTATATAAATGTGAAATAAATTTAGACTGTATAATAAAATAATCTTCAATAGACAGAGTAATAAAATAAAGTCTTTATATACTGATAGGATATAAACTAAGAGTAAATATTTTCATAGCGTGTAGAAGTTTAATGGATATAATGAGGGATTTATTGAAACTATGCAGATAACTCCTTTTTTCAGTTTTGTGTAACAAGCAAATTGAATCATTTCGAACGTTATATTTCCATGGTTACACTTTCATTGCAGATATATGTATAAAATATAATACTAATGTCAGACATCATAGATTTAGTATTTTATAAAATTATCAAAAAAAAAAACAAAGACTTCTGATGAATACATTGGTTTTACATTTAATACTAAACTTTTTTTTTAAAGAATAATTTTTAAGCATAATGAATGATGACGTGATAATTAAACTTATTTAAATCGTAGTTGCAGTGTTTTGCTTTTTCTCAAATAATCCGATAATTGAGCATGAGAATTAGGTTATTCGTATATCTGATAGTATCTATTATATGAATAATGTCTTTTTCTATGGCTAATTATCTTCTTAGTCAAAATTAAAATGTAACAAACCCTTCCACTTCGTCGATCATCTGTACCAAAACTTTGCCTCGAAGTAGGACGTTCATTAACATAATAGGATTGTTCTTCATACAAATGTTGTGGCTGTTGTTGTTGCTGTTGTTGTGGAAAACTACTTCTTAAACCACTAGAATTTATTGTTTGATATGTTGAAGTCGCTCCAGTATATGCCATTATATGAGAAAGATCTGAAGATAAAATATAAAACTAACAGAAACTAGTGTTAATAATAAAACTCTTGGCGAAACTCTCTCCTTTTTTTTGATTCAACTACTGCATTTCTTTGGTTGCTCCTTTGATCAACTCAACTGTGTTTTCGAAACCATTACCATTTCTGTTGTTCTTTCTACTCTCACTCTCAAAGCTTATATATTCAATCTGAAAAGTTTCTTTTTTCCTGCTACTCTTCGCAGAGAGCGCACAAGAACGTGTGCATGTGATGAAAAACGACGCTAAACATAAAAAAAAAGAAGAAAAGAAATGAAAAAATGTAGAAGGACATGTTGATGCTTCTTCAGGCAATAAAATTAAGTCATGCCAACCAGTGCGCGTGCATTGTGTCTTTGTCAAGCTCGACGACAGCATAAATCGATATAAAAAAAAAAGCGAGCGAACAAAATAAAGACAGCACATTGCATGGTAGGCAGCATATTGACAATAGAACAACAATAACAACAATAAAATGGCTCCTGTAAAGCGTTTGTCTGGATTTGTTCGCGTATGTATGAGAAATAAAAAAGGAGCGAAAAAAAGGTAGATACCATAAACCGACTGTTAATACTGATTTATGATATTCAGTGCGATCAGCACGTTTTTCGTTTTACTCATATCAACTAAATATGCAGGAAATGTCAAGAAGAAAAAGTAAATATGTATTTGAAAAAAAAAAGAGAAAAGAAAAATGAATTAGCAAATATTCTCTCTCGTATACTGTTACTCATAAAAGGTAGGATCATTTATTTTCTAATAAATCGAAAAGTAATAATACAGCAACCTTCAAAATGATATTATATTATTCCGTCAATATGTCTGGTAATTGTCAGAAAAAAAATGAATCCACATTAACAAGAACACATAAATTCTCTTTTTCATCTTCTTGTTTCAATGAAATAAAAACATTAGTCACACGAAATAGAGAATAACAAATAAAAAGAGAAAAAAAAATAAAATTGCTAGTATTAGTATTTTTTTATCGCACCAGACACAAAAGAAAAAAAAAATTATCTATCTGAACTGATAAAAGACAAAGTAAAAACGAAAAAAAGAAAAACAAAACTTAAACAGATGTAGTCCGTTTGATGCCTTTTCGTATACTTCGTTTTGCTATATTATTGGGTATTTGTCTATTTGGATGTGAGTTCGGTAGAAGTTTAATAATTCTTATTGGTGGCGCTGGTGTTGTTGGTCTTGAATTAGCTAATAATTGTGCTTGAGATTTTGATTTAACCATTTGTGTAAGTAAATCCATATCTTCTGGACGAATTAATACACGACAATAATCTCCGTAGAGAAGTGTTGGTGATCGGGGTGGAATTATTGAATAAGGTATTTTATCAACATGTTGAGATGATATTGGTACAGATTTATCAAATGGTATACGTCGTCTTTCTAGAACTCTTTGTTGTTTAGGTGTTGAAGAATCTGGTGTAGCAGCATTACCGATCGCATACTGATAACGTTGATTATTTGAAGTAGAATAATGATTTTGATTTAATTGATAATTCGAACGATTCGACATCGATTTTGTATTATTATTATTATTATTATTATTGGTATTATTTGTGTCATGTGCAGCAAGATTTAATGGTAAAGCAGTTGTCATTGATAAACAATTTCCCATTAATTGACGAGTACGTAAGCGTAGTTTTTCTTGTTTTCGTACAAGTGCACGAAAACGATATATAAACCAATAAACAGTTAAAACACCAGTTAATTCTTGTAGAACAAATGAAAAAACTGCACAAAGAAATGAATATCCATAGGAACATAACATCACCTTAGCATCTTGATCGATTTTAACTGATTCTTCAGTTGTAATTGAAACATATAATGTAACACCAACCATTGTAAGTAAACCTATAAAATTAAGAAAAAAGGAATAAAATAAAACTAAATATATATATGTATATATAATTCACCTGAGATAGAAAATAAAAGTCCTGAGATGAAGAAAACAGCCTTTCGACGTCGTTTGCAAAGACCACGTGTAAATAAAAAAATGGCAATAATTAAAAGAGCAGATGCAGCTGTAAAACAAGCCATACTTGGTGCTGATCGATCTAATTTAATATTCGATCATATTAATATATATATTATATATATTTATATAATATAAAAAAGATCTTACATGATACAGCTTTAAAACCTTTTTCTAATTTTGCCTCAGCTTTGGAATATTTAACAATATCACAGGTATATGGAGCGTCTAAAAACAATGGTTTATAAAAATAAAAGAGTTATTTCATATTTTTATTATTTACCATAACTCTCTTTCATACATTCGCGCCAAAGACCAATTCGATGATATGTATAATTTAAACTTCGTATATCGCCTATTTTTACTACTGGATTTTGTGATAATCTTGTTTGATTTCCATATATCCAATAATCAGTAAGAAGACCAACGGTCATAAGTGCTGGCGCAGTATAGGCACTGACCGAAGCGGAGACCATTAGTGCCCTATGATGAAAATTATCCATCCATGCGCCGTCAATGCGCAATCGGGAAGGGGGGCTAGTGTTATTATTGACTAGTAAATACAAAAGATAAAAAAAGAAAGAAAGCATTAAAAGGTAAAATGTAATAAGACACAAGAGTGGCAAAACAAAAAGATGTTCATGTGTCAAATCGTCTTAAACGCAAATACACTCATTCATCTCACACTACTTAGAGTAAAAGACAAGGTCGAAGTGGTTATACTAAATGCTAGCTATTGTTGTTCGATTTTGTCGTTATATTCTGAGTCAAAACACTTGGCACGCAACAATCGGTCTCTGTTTCCCTCGCTCTTTTTTGTTCGAATTATTATTTATGACTACTGAGCATACACAACAGTCTCGGCTAGCGTTCGAAATTGCTCGTTTCTCCGCCATCATCATAGTACTTGAGCTAATACACCACATACATACACATACACACGAAAAAATAGAGAGATGCATCTATACTTAGACTCAAAAGAAGAAAAAACTAGAGAGAATGGAAAAGACAGAAATATTTTATTAGGATTTCTTTTTACGCACTCGTACGAGTGGTCCATCTCGATCGCGCGCGCGATGCGATGTAAACTAACGATCGGATCATTCTCCCTCTTTTTTTGTCATTACTAATAGTACCGTATATAAAGAAAATTACATTTTTTATCTCGCGCTTGCTCTCTTTTTTTGTTATTCTTCTTTTTCTTTTCCCTCTTTTTTTCTTTGAGTCTCTATATGTGTGAGTATGGGTGTACTACTAATGATGACAGCTACATCGAGGAGAAAAGATGAGTAGACACTTTTGACCAATTGATCGGAAGATGTGACTTGCTTCTTTGTTTTGTGTCTTAAACAATGGTTTCTTCCTTACTCTTGTGTCTCTTGTCTCAAACTAGCAGTACTAACAAGAAGCCTAGCGGCAATTTCTATATCTTTATTTGTACTAAAAAAGTAACTGAATTTACTGTAGAGTAACGGTGTACGAAAACAAATATTCCAATCATAGATGTTTTCTTAAGATATAGTTACGGTCTGTTGCGTCCTAATAAACGATTTTCTTGTTCATTGAAGATTAAATTCTATTAAACGTTTGCACCGATTGACTTCTAAAGGCGTACATTTTATTAATTACTAAAAAAATAAGTTAAGCTAGAATAGAAAAGATGTTTATCTCTTGAACATGGATATGAGATGAAACAGAAGAACGATTATCCGTATACCTATGATAATAATCGAGATTATTTACAGTTATAACAATTGAATATTGTATTTTTTTATCATGCCAAAAACCATTTATTTTATTCAATGATAGATGATTGATTGCTTATTTCATCGTAATTATATTGAACATGCAATATCTACTTGTAAAAGATGACTCATCATTCAATAAGATGTGTCTTTCAATAGAATCAAACATGAAGATTTTTGAGTAGCACTTTGCAAAATAGAGATATTGTTATTAGAAGGAATACATTCGTGGTTTTTTAATTATTTATATAGTTTCAAGTACAGATTATTAGAAAATCACTCTGAACATTTTTGCTAATCACAACATTAATGAAGCATTAAAGTTAGTAGAAGAAGAATTTAAAATATGAAACATGCACAAAAGAAAATTGAACTATTTTTGGAGATATCATTACTTTGAAAGTGTAGAAAGAAACTGTTTTAAATGTTTTTTTGTGTATTTTCAGATGTACAAAAAACAATCTGCTTTTATTTTTACAAGATTGCAGACTACTTTAATAGTGAAAGTATTATAAACCTTGAAATGAAAAGTGGCGATACTTCAGCTTTCATGAAAAATTGATAATCTCTGTAGTTTATTATGTACGATGACTAAAAGCATTCTAAAGCTTGACATTACTATATTAATGTTAGCTACACTTCCCTAATTGAAGTATCCAAAACTGAAATAATAGCTAGCAGTTATTTTCCATTGTTCGCATGAATCTCTATAGATGAAAATTGTCTAAGCATTGAACCGAATATTAATTCTTGCAGTTCTCTAATCATTGTAAAGGAGAGTATCAATAATTAAGTTCTGATTTGAAAAAAAAATAAAAGTCAATAGTATTTGGAAAAATTAGAACAATAAAATTATTTACATACGTATAGCATATTTTTCAATTTGTTTTTAGTCATTTGAAGTTAGTTTTGAATAGAATCTCTATATAAAATTTTTTAGTTATTAGATTATATTTATCATTATAAGCCTTTTTTTCAGAGAAAGTTCTAAATTCTGTTATTATTACAAAATCTTTATTTTTAATCATCAGACAAGTTATTCTTATCATTGCCAACAGTTGTTAAAGTTACTTTCTTGTTTAATGTGAATTCTATTAGATAGACGTATTTTTTTCATCGTTAACAATAAAATTACGTTGTTCTTTTTGCTCAATTCTATCTAGAATTTAAATTTGACAAAACAGAAAATCGAGGAATTACCTTGGCAGATGACATATGTTTAGTACATATCGCTTGACAATTTATATTATACGTATCGTTCTATTAATTAATTCAGATTAGATAAATAATAAACTTTTGTTTTATGCATTATTGGATGCGTGACAAATGTCAATCAATCATTAGAAACTGATCTTTCTGTTCTTAGTATTATTGTTTTCCTCTGTAAACCATTAAAAAAAAACAAATAGAATAACAATAGAATTATTCTCCTCTGTGTCAATATTAGAGATATTTTGGATGATATGCAATCTTTTCTTAGAATTAAAACTGATGTACCATGTGATGTACAAAGTCTAGATTCCTTTGTGTTAAATAGATAGAGAGATCGAACATATTCCTTCATGTACTGATAACAGAAAAGTAAAGAAAACAAATATGAGTACACAATCATTATTATTGATGTGCAAAAATAGTATAAAAAACAAAGGACAACCAAATAACTCTATTACTAAATATGAAAAAAAAAACAAAATTGCAAGTGATTATAACGAATTATAATTCAACATGTCTTATATTAAGATGTCGTTGTGATAATGATGCATGATGGCTTTTTTTTTTTAACAAGAATATATTATAAATGAAGAGAAAAACTTCTACTTGTAAATCAATAATAATTGATGTGTAATCGCTCATAAAAGAGAGATCAATAGGGAAATTAATGCATATTCAAGTCTGTGGTTGTAAAGAATATGATTGACATTCGGAATAATAATTTATCTTAGCAGAAAATAGCACAAATATCAGTGATAGGTTTATGAAAAAACAAAAAAACAAGAATCATTATACAAAATAAAAATATCTTAGATAATTCATTTGTTATCGTTTTGAATATTCAACAACTAGAATAGGATAATATCATGTATTATTATTGCTAGAAAACGAATAACAAATAATCGAATATACAGGATGGCCTAAAAGTAAGGAAACTCAGAATTTTTTCAATTTTTTCTTTATACATGGTTAGTTAGGCTTCATATTTATACCATACATACTAGCTGATACTAATTAAAGATGTAGCATATGATCAGTTTTTAGATGTCGTAATTTGTTCAAACTCATGCAAATTTATCTTATTATTTGTCTGTGACTCTATGAGAAATTGAATGTTTTTCAAGCTCTATGCGGCTTGCATTGTTTTGTTTTCTAATCTCGATCTATGAAAAGAATTCCATTTAATTAATTTTGACTTCTGCTAGGTTAATCAGTACAAAATGTAATTAAACCGAATTCATCGCGCACACAACGGGATAAGCAGATAAAACTACAGAAATTAAAAAAAACATCAAATTTCTTATACAGTCATAGACGAATAGTAAGATAAATTTGTACACTTTTGAAGAAATTACTGTACCGAAAGACTGAGCATATGCTACATCTTTTACTAGTATTACCTATTAGATCTAATGTAAATATGAGGCCTAAATGACCATGTTCAAAGAAGAAATCGAAAAAGTTCTGTGTTTTCTTACGTTAAGCCACGCTGTGTATTGATCTATTTCTTATCTTTTGTACAAATGTAGAATATATAAAATAGTCTACGAATATTCAAAGACCACATGAAAATCTAAACATTGGAAAGAATGGGGGGGGGGGGGGGAAGGGAGCGGGCGGGCGGGATGACTGACGTCTCCTTCGTCGCCAGACGGCTTGCTACCACTTACATTTTGTGCTCCTCTAATCCTGGTCACCTGGTGACGGTATTGTTTACTGGAAGACAGCTATTTTTGTTGCTTTTTTCCAGAAAAGTAGCAGGTACTACGTAACACTCGGTTTCTCTCAAAATCTACTAGAACGACGAATAACTTTGACAAAAAGTATTTAAAAATATGCCAGAAAATCGAACATTTTTTCAATAATTTGAGATGTGTGCACACCTCTCACCTTTGCTTTTGCGGCCTCTGCAAATATTTGAGCGTAAAATGAAATAAATCCAATTATTGTTGTCAATCATGAACACATGGAATGAAATATTAGTTGATATCAAGAAATATTCGTGTTCATTTATAGTTAGAATTTTTTAATATTTATTATAATTAGCAAATAAAACTATCAATCATATTACATTCTTAGTCGAAGAAATAATCTCACAAAATTATATTCTACAACTAAATAAACATAGCTTTTCAGGGCTTATTGGAAGACATGTGATCAAGATATGACTTGAACTTTTCACTACTAACTAGACTCACATAATAAACGGGACACTATATTTTTTGTTTTATTAACACTTTCCAACACATTAAAGACTTTCTTTTAGTTACATTCGATAGAGAATTTCCTGCTCTACAAAGCTGCCGTCTTTGTTTTTTCAAATAACTTTTTCTATCGGTTATAAGTTTAAAAGATGAACACCTACTTAATCATCTATCTGAAACCATCATAGAAAACAATTTTTCGTAAAAGTTTCGTTGAAATTTCAAATATGCTATAAAATTCTTCATAAAACTCTATATCTTTTGATATATATCTCAGAATTTTAGAAGAATGATATGCGAGAAAAAGTTTTGAAG